ACATGACTTGCAATATTATGATCTTAACCCATTTCACTCAATCTTTTTTGCAAAAGCAGCCTCTCTCCTTTTCCTCTACCCCAAATATACCACATTACGATCAGGAGTACAAGGAAAGCATTATGTAAGTGAAGAACATTGCAGCCAATTTGCTGAGACAAGAAAATCTAACAAAGAGACTTTCCATACGCTGTGCAAGCAAGACATTTTATAAGAAAGTGATGCCTGCAGTAGGAAAGAAAGAAAAGCTAAGTCAGTGGTGAAAATTCTGAAGAAATACACCATAAATCTTTCTGATTAATCCGTAAGCCATTTTTCTATCACTTGGTTTTAGATAATTCATCAACAAGTAAAATACACTTGCAGAAATACTACCAGACTGTAAATAGGACTGAAAGACTGACACACATCCACCACCTTTCTCCTCTTGTGTTGATGACTTTTTTCCTATCATCTTTGTTAATGTTCTGCAAGCCACTTAAACAGCCTGTAGTCTGGTGTACATATTACAGGCCTCTGCCTGATCAAGTGAAGATGTTAGAATACAAGTAATAGAAATAACCAAAGTTTTTTTCTGGACATGCTCCTGGGCAGCCTGCATTAAGTGTCCCCTGCTTGAATAGGGAGACTGGACCAGTTACCTCCAGAGATCTCTCTCCTCCTTAGCCATTCTGTCATTCTCTGGTGGTTAGCAGATTCACAAATTGTTATTCAGAGTTGTCAGTGTTGTTCTTAGATATTTGTAATAAACAATTTTGTAAAGGTAAACCCTCAAAAACCTATGCTCAAAGCTTCCACAATCAAGCCCATCAAAAGAAGTGTCACCAAGCTTAGGAGAATTTAAATACTTTCCAAGTAAACTAACTCTTTGCTCTACCTGAAGTTAGATATCCCCTAACTATGCACATAACTATCACCTGAGGAGGAAGAGAAAAAAATAAAAGGAAAGGACCTCAGACCTGGCTTCAATTCTGTTATCCTACTGGGCTGATGGTAAACATAGTTGCTTTATAACTACAGCTGAATATTGTTATCTTTGTTTCACTGCAGCGGGCTTCTGTAATGCTCATCTTGGACAAAGAGCCTGTGGTACATCACAGAGATTCAGCCTGCCTATGAAAAACCATAGTAAGAGAAGGGGGAACAAGGAGAAAAAAACCTAATCCTCAACCATTCTTCCATGCAATTGTCATCCACTTGTCTGACAACGTCTGAGCCATGATGGGCCATAAGGCATTATGAGCTGATAGAAAAGTGCCTTTAAACTTTGGAATCACTATTGCTCTCAGAAAGTTCTTTAAAGATATACTGGATATCCAGTCAAAATAATTTATGCCAGTTAATTTAATCTCAGGAAAATACACTTGCAGTTTTGTGCCTTCTCAGATTTTAACAGTAAGAGAAGGGCTAAGGAGAATCTCCATCCTTTACTGGATGTAGTGGGGAATGTGACTATTGTAGGTACGGAAATGTCTGTGGTTCTCAATGCCTTCTTTATGTCTGGCTTTTAAAGTCAGATCAGTTATCCTTGGAGTACTCTGCCCCTTGACCACGAAGTCTTGGATGGGAAGCAGAATATATCTCCCACTATTCAGGTGGAAACAGGTGGAAAATTCAGAAACAGTTAGGGACCTGCTACTCCACTTGGACTACTACCGGTCCATGGGGCCAAATGGGATCCACCTGAGGGTGCTGAGGGAGCAGACAGAGGTGGTAGCCAAGCTGCTTTCCATCATCTATCAGTGTTCCTGGTCAACTAGAGAGGTCCCAGAGGACTGGAGGCATGCCACTGTGACTCCCATCTACAAGAAGGATTGTAACGAGGACCCAGGGAACTACAGGCCAGTCAGCCTGACCTCAATGCCAGGAAAGGTTATGGAGCAGATTGTCTTGAGGGAGATCACATGGTATGTGCAGGACAATTGGGGGATCAGGCCTAGCCAGCATGGGTTCATGAAGGGCAGGTCCTGCTTGACCAACCTGATCTCCTTCTATGACAGAGTGACCTGCCTGGTGGATGAGGTAAAGGCTGTTGATGTGACCTATCTTGGCTTCAGCAAAGCCTTCAGCTCTGTCTCTCACAGGACATCAAGGCCCTGGAGTTTGTCCAGAGAAGGGCAATGAAGCTGGCGAGGGGTCTGGAGCACAGGCCTTTTGAGGAGTGGCTGAGAGACTGGGATTGTTCTGTCTGAAGAAGAGGAGGCTCAGTGGGAGACCTTATCGCTGTCTGTAACTACCTGAAGGGAGGCTTTAGGGTAGGCTTTTTCCATGTAGCTAGCAATAGGACTAGAGGGAATGGCCTCAAGTTTTGCCAGGTGTAGGTTGAGTTTGGACCTTAGGAAATATTCTTCTGTGAAGGAGTGGACAGGAGCTGGAATGGGCTGCCCAGAGAGGTGGTGGAGTCTGAAGGTGTTCAAGTAACATTTAACTGTTGTACTATGGGACATGATTTAGTGGGAAATACTGAGAAAATATTGGTAATATGTGTACAGTTGGACTGGATGATCTTGTAGGCCTTTTCCAACCTTGGTGATCCTAGGATTCCAAGGCTTCAACAGAAAATGGATAATGAAATCATGATTTGCTATAGAAACTGACTGAAAAAATGGGAAGGACTTACACATTTTCCAACTGTGTAAAAGCTGTATGAGCCTCAGTACTACATATAAATATTTTTCTTGATATCCTCTCTGATGTGGTAGGAAGATCTTTTAGCTAACTGTAGCACGTAATGAAAAGACTTTCAACTCCCAAGGGTGCAGACAATATTTTACATACAAGTTTTAAGATGAAACTTCATTTAAAATACAAAATAACATACATTTTTACACGCAGTTCTCACATACTACTGGCCATATCATTGCTAGTTTCTATTAGAAGGTTAATGTGAACATAAACAATACTTCTCAAAAATAAAAAAACTGGTTCCTATTTCTTAACTTCTTTTTGCTGACAACTGACAACTTTACTTACAAAAATCCCTGAATAAAACCTCTGACACACAGGGGTTTTGCTTTCTCTATTGGCCTGCCAACCTTTTTTTTTTTAAATGTTTATATCTATTTCTGATGTCCAGGTACTAACAGCATTTGAACTTCAGTAACACAGTAGAATCATCATAACTAAAACTGTCTTCACAAACCAAATTTAGACAAAAAAAGCTAGCTATAAGTATGGACTGCAGTTCTTTGTCTCTGGGTCATTAAGGTCATTAAAGGAAAAATTCCCTATGCATATACTGGAGAAAAAGGCATGAATGGACCTTCTCTCGGATACATAAGGGTGTGTAAGCTAACATTTCCTTTGAAGGATTGTAGCTGTCTGTGATCTGATGACTGGTAAAATGCTAATGGTAATGTTATCTCAGTTGTACCTCTTAAGATCTGCTAAGCCTTTGGCTTCACTTCATAAAGTGAAATGAAGATTATATTCCTTTTGCCATGGTTGAATTTAATTTTTTTTTAAATAGAAGAAAAAAATCTGAGAGACACTTTCTGTACTTTTATGTGACATTGCAAAGAAGAAAGCAAGCATGAAAGTAGAGAGAAAGTAAAAACTTGAGAAGCTCAAGCTTGAGGCCTGGTTCTAAGAATTCACTGGCAGGAAGCAGCAACACCACAGCTATTGCTTTGATCTACCTCCCTATTTATTTCTCTTCCCATTGTAGAACCCCTAACATTTCATTGGTATTCAGATGAGATTGAAATATATTATAATACCTATAAATAGAAACGTTGCTTCAAGTACAAATTAAAAACAAGTCTGGCATTTGGAAACTTGTATCAGTAAAAAAAAGTTACAGTAAACAGTTGAAATGTTGCCTTTTTTTTTTTTTTCTGAGAAAAAGCTAGACCTCTGTTTAATAAATCTTGACAATAATGTTCAGACTGAAGTGTTTATAAGTATCTAGTCAGCAGTTTCACTGTAAGAGTAACAAGAAGGATTTTGCTCTGTTCTTCAATTTTAATTATTGCCATAAAATTCCAATTATAATAGGGTAAGTTATGCACACTAACTCCACAGTCTTCACAGTAGTTTTTAATTAACAAGAGTTGAAAACTATGTTATTTACTGTGCTCCCTCATTACATATTAGTTTGATAACATGGTCTTTCATAACTAATCTTATAAAAAAAAAGACACACACACACACACACATATATATATAAATCTAAACATTTGATACACATCCTTATTTCCATGACTGATTTCATCTTCCTGTCTCCCTTCCTGAAAACTTGATACAAACAGGCACTAATTTCAAGGGAGTTTTCAGCAGCAAGTGTTGTAGTCTTCATTTTCACAGTTCTCCCAGCTTGAGACACTACAAAGTGGCCAGAACTGCATGCAGTAAGAATGTACAGGTTTGCTCCCAACCCTCCCAAGACATTAAGTTCTTTGGAACAGGGATACTAGCTTGGTCTGTCATGACAGAGGCACGTTTACGCTATTACATAAAATTGTATTTTCCCCAGTGACTGTTAACATTCTACACGCAACTGCACAAAACTGATTCATTCTTAAAAACTCTGGAAAGCACAATTTTCAAAATCGCAAGTGAGACTTGGGAGTGCCCAGAGAGGAGCAAAACGGGCCTGCCATGTGGAAGCTCAACTTCAGACTGCAACAGACACAACTGCACCTGGCGACCACACAAAGGACTAAGATGAACTAAGAACTAATACATACTCACCGTAATAGTGTGAAACATAGCACTCGAGTGAACATGCTGCCTGAAGTATATATATGATAGTATATGACATCTATGTTGCATTTTCTCCTACTACTACAGCATCCAAGCACATCTGGACCTACTCCTGACACACACACAAAAGCAGTGGACAATTAAGGCATCTGGAAATGCAATAGGAATTCAACACATGAAATTTAATACTTAGTCTAGGAATATACAACTTGAATGAGCCTGGCTCTTAGTGGATCACCATCATTCCCAGTCAACAATGCAGTGAATTATTTTATGAGATTTTTTTAGTGATTTACCTCAGCATCCTGGTCACGGAGCTGGTATGTCTTCTCTAAGCGCTGCAGTGTTCTGGGACACAATGTTTTCTCCTCCAGGAGATACTCCAGAAGTAAGACCAGCTGGTCTGGGAGCAGCTAAAACAAAAACAAATGCTTTGTGTGAACAAAGCTGTCCTTACTGAGCAATTAAACAGACAAATCAAAGAGGACAAGACTGCAACAATCTCTGTACTTCCAGCATGCATGAAATATGGAAAGAAGTTACAGCTGATTCCTGAAAAAACTCAGGTTTTATGTGTCTGTATTCTGAAAGGCTGTGTATAGGCCCCAATTAGGACACATTTTCCATATATTTTATTACTACATAGTTAGATCAGATCTAAATCATGTTTATCTAACTCAGACATAATCATAGCTTATTAAACCAAGATTGTTATGGAATACATATGCTAAATAATTGCATTTTGTTTGGGCTTGGAAGGAATAAAATAAAAGAATAATTTATACTACATCATTTCAGGAATCAACCAGATATATGCATGTATAATTATGGCACCTCTAGCTGCTACATGAGCAATTGCTCAATATACTTAGTGAACCTAACACAAACGAATGACCCATAAATCAATGCTAAAACATCACATCTTGAGGCACATTCTAGCACAAAGAGTCAGGAGTTATCCACCACCACACGAAAAAGATGGCATGAATGTTATGACCTTAGTACAAACTTGTACATAGTACACGTAGTATATATGTACATATGTGTATATATAGCAGTTGCCTGACTAGTTTTCAAGTTGAATCTAATGCAGCTTAAAAAAACAAAAAACACCAGTAGTCTGATGTAGCAAATGCTTAAGTGCTCTGTTTAAAAGGCTTACTGGATGGACAAATTAATAATTCAAACAGAGCTCAGAAAGAAATTACACCAGCTGCCAGGAAACATTTATTGGAAATTCAGGGTTCAGAATGATTCATTAAAAGTATGTCATATGCCCCAAAGATTTTCCACTATTCATCCAGTTTAGGTGGGCACCAGAATTCTAAGGGGAAGTACTGAAGCCTTTGCACAGAAAAAGAAATCAACACTGCTTTACTTCTAATATCCTCCAGATAGACTAATGAGCAAAAAAAATTCTGTTATTTTAACTCTGCTTCCAATTTTATGCCACTTGGAGATGCTCTGCTCCCACCTCATTGTATCTAAATTATCATAATTAGCAACGAAGCATTAGCAACGATGACATTTTCTTCCCTCTTACTCTGACATAATTTAGCATTAGTACCCAATCAGAATAAGGCAGAAAGGAAGGCTCTAGGATTTAAAAGATTAGTTTCCATTCCATTTATTTTATTATTTAAGCTGTATCTTAGGGACTGAAAAAATTCTACATCTTACTGGCTCTTACTGGAACATTTTCTGAGTGATAATCATGCCTGCTAACAAAATGGAATGGATAAAAACCATCAGCTACTTACAAATACTGAGTATTTCAATCTTAGAACAACCCCCTAAAATGCCAAGTTGAATGTACATTGTATGGTCCAAGAGCAGCTGCCTGGGAAGGATGGGGAGGTACATTAAAAAACAGAACTGGGAAAGCTTCTGGGAATCGGTTCTGCTTGGAGACTAATTCATTCTGAACACTAATAAAATTTGAAATGTTGCAGAACACCACACATGGAAAAGTAACTTCTTATTTAGAAACCTTTGCCTGCTAAGATAATGGTGCAAAACACTTATTTTTAGAAACTGTAGAATAGCTGTTTGAATACATATATAAATATATGTGTGCTAGAGGAGGTACAGAGTGAGTATTATCTATCCTCAATATAACTGCTTTACAGATTCACCAACAGACAGCTATTGTCTAAGATAACATACAGAATGTAAATGAAGCCAACAAAAGCAAAGCAGCAAAGCATCAGCCATGTCCTTAGTTTACCTCTGTCTATTGCTGCATTATGGGTGAGGAATTTTCAGAATTACAGACCAAATTCCTACCCATCCTGAATGTGAGACTGCAGAGCAAAAACTCCCGAGACTACAGTTTCAGTTATTTTTTTCACTTTCTAGGTATCCAAGACAAAACTTTACACACTAGTCTGAGGCCTGTAGTCTGGTTTAACTGGAGTCCAACTTAAGAGCTAGCAAACATGGAGAGAGTGGGTGTGGGCACCAGCAGAAGTGCTGTCAGACCTGTAACTGAACTGGTACTAGTGGGTGCAGCTCTTAACATTTTGTTCTCTCATTCCCTTCCAACAAAAAATAAAAGGAAGAACATGTTTTCTTTCATTTCCCCTTTCCCTTTTTAATATAAAAAAAGAGTCTATGTAAGACAAAAACTATCCTAAGGAAAGAGGCAGAAAGCTCAGCTGAAGTTTCAGGGCACAAACTGCTACAAAATTATTCCTGGGGTTTAGATTTCTTCTTCTTCTTCTTCTTTTTTTTTTTTTTTTTTTTCAAATAAATCAACATGAATAACTTTGTTTCCAAAGCAAATTTTCAAAGGTTGTAGATAACTTCACAAAATTACATCTGAAGTTTTGCTCATCCTTATTTGTCCCATCCACCTGTTATTTCTCATCTTTTGCACTTTGAAAACTGTTTGGGGTGCACACAAATTTTCCATTTGTTTGTCCTATGCTTAATATAAAGAAGTCCTTGCTGTTCAGCATTACTAAAGCATAAATCCTAGAGAAAACAAGTTAATTTGTTTTGGATGTTGTGAAGCTATTTTCATTTATGACATTATGGCAAATGCATCTTGAATATCTAACCTATGTAAAAATTACATAAAGATGCAGCAAAATACAACAGTATAAATTTCACTGTGTGAAATCTCTCTCCATGATGAAAAAGTTCCAAAAACAGCCACAACACACCAGACACAAAATTTCCATCTCTGTTCTTTGTTTTTCCTTTAAAAGATGAAAAAAAAAAAAAAAAACCGACTCTAAACTGCATGGGAATACTCAGTCCAAATGCTCAAATGTATGTGATTATTAAAGTACCCTTCTACCAGGAAATGAGGCAAATATCAAGAAACAGCATTCATGATGACTACAAATGCTACACCATCTGTTTATATTGCAAAACAGATAGCCCTGGCCACAACCTGAGGCTGCTGCACGGAAATCACATTTTTTTCCCAGGGTTTCCCTTCCCCCAGCTGTGAATACTGACACTACAAAGAAGGAATAAATTAATGTCTTGGGATCAAGCACACCAGAGGTTTTCTGTCATGTCGCATATAATTAACCATCATCCCCACTACAAAGCTGTATTCCAACACTGCATGCTTTACCTTGTCCTTAAGCCTCTCCTGCAACTATTCAATCTTTTGCAAGGGTTTCATTTTGTCTTCCCACTAAACAGGCCCCTGTCCCTGACTTCCCTGGAGTTATCTGATGTAGAGGTCTTAAAGTTTGAATATTGAGGCTCTTGCCTCTGAAAAACAAACAAACAAACAAACAAACAAACAAACCACAAAAAACACAAAAAACTACCAAAATGGTATGGAGTATCAAAACAGCAAGATGTAAGAATCAATGTAAATGTTACCAAACTGGAACTGTAACTCAGACTGACATACAAGCAGCATCCTGCTTGGGGCTGGAATTCAATGTATACCAAATATCCAGGAACTAAGAAATACAGCACACTTATTACTCACATATGAATACAATACAAGATATTAATTCTAGTTAAGAGTAACTCAAGGTATTTTTGAAATGGTCCCTACAAAACATATTGCAACAAAAATGCGAGTTTGTTGAATCCTGCATCCCTAACCTGCAAAAACCCAAGAGAAACAAGTCTTGTCTCTGCAAAGGCATGATACTGCAGCCACAAAGGTCATCATCCTGTGGTCCCAGCAGACCACCCACACGAAGGAGTGTATTTATCAATTCTACATTAACAAATGCAATAAATGCCAGATTCACCCTTTATACTAGAAAAATGACACTGAAACATTTGAATACTGACCTTTCACAGCCATAAAATGTGACACAGATATATCTACTTGAGCATCCATAGGACCGGCGCTCACACGGCACCCCTAAGCCAGGACACAAATCACTGAAGTAGTACAGCTGGTATGCTGAATATTCCATTTGCTCCAGTCTGCACTTGAATGAAGCCATTGAAAGCCTCCTCCAAAGGGAAATGTGCCTGCAACTAATGCAGCAGCTGATTGACAGTGGCGTGATTTCTATTATTACTCCATTATCACACTGGGATCCGTGCCTAAATGAGCATACTTCCTCCCTGATGCCATTTCCTTTTATCCTGGCTCTAGTCTAAAAGCGGATCAATGGGAGTAATATATATGATGTCACTTCAATTTACAGCTACTGCCTCCCTCTCTCACATGCACAGATAGATAAATTCTTCCCAAAAATGGTTAAGAAATGCATGGGGAGACTCTTCTCCCAGAAGTGTTCTCAGCTATATTTGTCTGTGTAACCACAGCAAGGGTCTGTTTACTGACCAAAAACAGGAGGGAAAGTAAATAAATAATTTAAAAAAAAAAAAAAAAAAAAAAGGTCACTACTGTACACTGGAAAATGCTGGCTGAAGTACAACACGCATGAGGCTCAAAACAGAATTACTGCATTTGACCTTTGAAAATTTTACAGGGAAGTTTCAAGACTCCAGGACACAACAGATTTCTGCAGCATTTCTCTGGAAGAAGGTGGTCCCCTCAAAATATGAGACATCTTTTCATTTACTTTTATACAAGACTTTCCAAGGTCAAACTGAATTCCTTCCCAGCCCTCTCTTAAGAGAGAAAGAGAGAAACCCCACCCCAGCATTCAATAGTGAATAACTCCCTTCAGACAGAATTTCCTCATTAACTGTAGATAAGAAAGCACTACTACTGGTTTAGCAGACAGGATTCATAGAGCCAGTCCATCTCTGCACCTATATTCTGAACCAATGAAAAGAATACCCAGACAAATCTTGCTTTATAAACTTTCCATACAGTTTGCTTTGAGGGCTGCTTTCTCTGGGCTGCCATTGAACAAAAAGATTTGGTAAAAAAAGATCTCCCTTCTCTTAAAACATCCAGTAAATTAATATCTTGAAAACTGAAGATAACACCACTTACTCAGCAACATTTTTA